TTGTATTGTATTGTATTGTATTGTATTGTATTGTATTGTATTGTATTCTATTCTATTCTATTCTATTCTATTCTATTCTATTCTAATTTCTATTCTATTTCTATTCTATTCTATTTCTATCTTCTATTCTATTCTATCCCCTATTCTATTCTATTGTATTCTATTCATATTGTATTCTATTCTATCTTATCCCCTATTCTATTCTATTGTATTCTATTCATATTATATTGAATTTTGTTCTCTTCTCTTCTTCTATTCTATTCTTTGCCCAACTAGATTAATTTTTCCAATGAATTTCAATATTAAAGGCCAACTGGAGGCGGAATAGAAGAGGGAGAAGAGCACTGGAGAGCTGGGGGGAGCGAGGGGGGCTGTGTTCTCAGGGGGCGTGGGGGGGGGGACCAGCAGGTGGGGGGGACCAGAAGGACTGCCCTCCTAACCTGTGACCTCTCTTGCCCCACAGCTGTGGGATTATCCTGGACACCCGCCTGGGCTCCATCACTACCATCTACTGCAAGGGGCAGGAAGGCCGCTACGTCAGTGTGCACCTACCTGGAGTTAACACCTTGGCCTTTTGCGAAGTGGAGGTCTATGGCACTCAGTAGGGAAGCCACGTCCTGTTCTGGGGACGATGGACACCTGCAAATCCCAAAAAAACCCCAAAAACTTTAACCTTAGACTGTCTACCATTGACCTCACCCCTTTCCTAAGAGGTCTGTAGGGGGCGTGCATAAGCGCACCAACGTGCCTACCGTCCCTGTCCTATTGTTTCTCTTATTCTTTTATTTTTCTTATATGTACCCATCTCATGTATTCACAACTATGTATACACTTATACTTATTATCTTGTAAACAATTGACAAATCAAATAAATAAATAAAAAATAAATAAATAAATAAATCCAAATAAACGGCCTCTGGGCTCCTAAGACGCATTCCTGGGTGTCCTCTGGTCCTTCTTTGGTGTAAAGGGAGGCCTTGGAGCAGGGTGGGATTCAACCTTTTTAAACTACTGGTTCTGTGGGCATGGTTTGGTGGGCGTGGCAGGGGAAGGATATACTGCAAAATCCCCAATCCCTCCCCACCCCACTGACCTGCTTTCCAGCTCCATTATCCTGTGCAGGGCAACCAAAGGAGACCCAGCCGATCAGCTGGGACTCAATGGGAGGCAGAGAAGAGATGGGGTTGGCGGGGCCAGTCAGAGGTGGGATTTGCCGGCTCTCCGAACTACCCAAAATTTCCTCCACCGGTTCTCCAGAATTGGTCAGAACCTGCTGAAGACAACCTGTGCCTTGAGGTCTGTTTGGGGAAAGCAAGGGAAGCCTTCTCAGTATAATAAAATACAAAATAAAATAATACTCCTTAAAAATGAATAAATTAGAAAGAAAACAAAAAGCAAGTAAACTCAAAAGGCTGATTTGATGGACAACTAGGTCTTTTTCTGCTGTCAGTTTTCTACATTTTCTTTTGTTTAGTATCCTATGATTATGTCAATTGCTTATTTAATAGCTTATGACTCACCAAGCCTCGTATCTTATGATTTATGATGATTGTATTTTATTATTATGATCACAATTAATCACTTGTTGCTTGTATGTATACTGAGAGCTTCTGCACCAGAGACAAATTCCTTGTGCACCTAAATTCCATTCTATTCTATTCCTGTTCTGTTCTGTTCTGTTCTATTCTTTTTTCTATTCTATTCTTTATTCTATTCTGTTCTGTTCTGTTCTCTTTTCTATTCTCTTTTCTATTCTCTATTCTCTTCTCTTCTGTTCTCTTCTCTATTCTATTCTATTCCTTATTCTATTCTATTCTATTCTTTATTCTATTCTGTTCTCTATTTTATTCTCTCTTCTCTTCTCTGTTCTATTCTGTTCTGTTCTGTTCTATTCTGTTCTATTCTATTCTTTATTCTGTTCTGTTCTGTTCTATTCTCTATTCTCTATTCTCTATTCTATTTTCTCTTCTCTTCTCTTCTCTTCTCTTCTCTTCTCTTCTCTTCTCTTCTCTTCTCTACTCTACTCTACTCTACTCTACTCTATTCTATTCTATTCTATTCTATTCTTTATTCTATTCTGTTCTGTTCTGTATTTTATTCTCTAATTATCTTCTCATCTCTTCTCTATTCTATTCTATTCTATTCTATTCTATTCTATTCTATTCTATTCTATTCTATTCTATTCTATTCTCTATTCTACTCTGCATCTATTCTGCATTCTATTCCTTATTCTCTTCTATTCCTTATTCTCTTCTATTCCTTATTCTCTTCTATTATATACCCAAGTATATTATATACTCTTCTATATACCCAAGCTCTGTAAAGGACCTTGGAATACTCACCTCTAATGATCTAAGTGCTAGAGCCCACTGCAACTACATAGCCAAAAAGGCATTAAGAGTTGTTAACCTAATCCTACGTAGCTTTTTCTCTGGTAATATCACACTACTAACCAGAGCATACAAAACATTTGCTAGACCAATACTCGAA